TGTTGGCCTTTAATGTAGCTTGGATTTTCTCTACTTCCAAAAGGATAGCTGTTTAATGAGTTTCATTCTCAGTCTTATCCCTTAGAGAATTTGAGCACATCACAGAACCCCCATACATTTGGCTCAGGTGTCAGCATGTACTTGTACAACATCATTGATCAGAAAGCAAATTACTTCTGAGCAGGCATCCCAGAGTGTCTTTCTGCTTGCTGGCACTGGAGCTTGGCTTGAGAAATTTTACTCACACTCATTAGACTTCCTTAATTAAAGAGAACGAATAGGTGTTCCTCTCTTCAGTGTCAGCTTCTTACCATCTTTTGCCAATAATAGTAAATGAAATTTCATCTCAAGCCAGTGAAAGAACTCTGCAACTCTTTCTGTTCATCCAAAGGCCAATTTTGTTTCAAGAGAAAGTCTTCTAGCTTTGGTGATAAGAGGCTTTTTATTTTTCTTGTGATGACAATGAACTTGAAATATTAAGAAAGGATTAGAAGGTCTACTCACTAGAATTTAGTTTTCCAAGTTTAGAGTTATTTGCTGTTTAGGAGGGGGAATTCTCTGTCAAGTATTCTTTCTAACCAAATGACCATTAAAATTTCGATTCACTTGTTCAGGGTCACATACCCATTAACATCATATTGTAGTTTAAAAAATTAAAACTGAGGCTCTAGATAACTTATTTACACTTTCATGATCTGTGTGATACTAATAGAAGCCACCCCATACTTCTGTATGCCAATTATAGAAATCACCCCATGCTTCAGTTTGCCAACCATAACCAGATTTTTAATTGATATGGTTAAAAAGCCTTTCCAAGTCTTTGTATTCATTTGAATGCCTCAATTGTACCTCACACTCAGTTGTGCCAGTGTGAACTTCCTTCATCCACCGCACACAATGCCAGAAACCTGGAGCCTCCCCTGCTCCTATTCCTCCTCTTCCGTAGCCAGACACAACCCACAGGGCCAGTGGTCAGTGTTCTACCTACTCCCCACCCTGCTCCCTCTCCCCATGTCTTGCTTTCTGCTCCCTAGACTTGCGTCCTGCCCCCCAATCTTGCTTCTTCCTCTCCAGTCTTGCACCCAGCTCCCCAGTCTCGCTTCCTTTCCCCATATCTTGCTTCCTGAGCGGGCCTCCCTTCTCTACTTTCCCAATGTTTTCCTTTCCTCATGGATACAAAACTCACCTTTATTTTTTCACCTTTTTTTTTGAGGGGTGAGGGGCAACCTCCTAAGCAGTGCTCAAGAGATCTAGAGGTCCCTGCTGACAATTATCAGCCAACCAGGCCTGAGGATGGTATGCTGATTGGGCCTCCTGGTACCGGGATACCTCACCCACTGCATTGATGCAGGGTGTCTCCAAGGCCATACCCAGTGTGCTGGGAACATCCAGGTCTGTATCTGGAGATTCTGAGGGCATGGGATTATGTTGAAAATCAAATCTAACTTGGACACATGCTAATCCTGTCCATCGTATTCTTTCCCACTCTCCAAAGTTGCCTTTTTAAGCATGCAACTCTGATTCAACCACAGCCCTTTACGGTTTTTAATACTCACAATCAAAATCCAAGTGCTGAACATGGCTGTGCAGGCCCTGCACAACTGACCTCAGACTGTCTTCTGCCCTCCTGAGCTCTGTCTCTGATACGGGCTAGTTTGGCTCACACTGAGCTGGACACCAGTAACCCGTTGACTCTTTTTTTAAAAAATATTATTTAAATTATTTAAATTTTTATTAGTTAAACACCATGAAGTACAGTTGTAGACTTACAAACTTTTGTGCTTGGGTTTCAATTATACAATGATCAAATACCCATCCCTCTACCAGTGCCCATTCTCCACCACCACGGGTCCCAGTATCCCTCCCACCCCCCATCCCCCCCATCCCACCCTGCCTCTGTGGCAGGGCATTCCCTTTTGTTCTCTCTCTCTCCTTTTGAGTCCCATGGTTTGCAAGAGAGGCACTGAGTGGCAATCATGTTTGGTCTATAGTATACTTTCAGCATGCTTCTCCCATCCTGGGAGGATCCTCCCAACACCCTTTATTTGGTGCTCCCTTCTCTATCTGAGCTCCCTTTTCTCCCAGCATGTGTGGCTGGCCTCCAAGCATGGAGCAAACCTCCTGGTACTAATCTTGGCCCCTTTTTTTAAAATTTTTTTTTATTAGTGAAACACCATGAGGTACAGTTGTAGACTTACAAATTTTTGTGCTTGGGTTTCTGTTGTACAATGATCAAGTACCCATCCCTCCACCATTTTCTACTACCACTGATCCCAGTACCCCTCCCACCCCCCTTATACCCCCATCCCACCCTGCCTCTGTGGCATGGCACTCCTTTTGTTCTCTCTCTCCTTTTGGGTGCTGTGGCTTGCAAAAGAGGTATCGAGTAGCAACATGTTCGGTCTAGAGTCTAGTCTCAGCATGCTTCTCCCATCCTGGGAGGATCCTCCCAATACCCCGCATTTGGTGCTCCCTTCTACATCTGGGCTGCCTTTACCCCTAGAGTGTGAAGCTGGCCTCCAAGCCATGGAGCAAACCTCCAGGTATTTATCTGGGCTATTCTTGGGTGTTAGTCTCCTATTTTGTTACTTTATGTTTCCCAGATAAATGCAATCTTTCTATGTCTGTCCCTCTCTTTCTGACTCATTTCCCTTAGCGTGATACTTTCCATGTAGTACCACTTGTATGTAAATTTCATGACTTCATCCTTTCTGACAGCTACATAGTATTCCATTGTGTAGATGTACCAAAATTTCTTTAACCAGTCATCTGTTCTCGGGCACTCAGTGTTTTTTCTAGATTCTAGCTGTTGTAAACAGTGCTGCAATGATGATCTGCAATGATCTGCAACTGCAGATGTCGCTTCGACTATACTTTTTTGCCTCTCCGGAGTATATTCCCAGAAGTGGAATTGCTGGGTCAAATGGGAGCTCAATTTCTAGTTTTTTGAGAATCGTTCATACTGTTTTCCAGAAGGATTGAACCAGTCGGCATTCCCACCAGCAGTGAAGGAGGGTCCCTTTCTTGCCACATCCACGCCAGCACTGGTTGCTTTTGTTCTTGTGGATGTGGGTCAGTCTCTGTGGTGTGAAATGATATCTCATTGTTGTTTTGATCTGCATCTCCCTGATGATTAATGATTTAGAGCATTTTCTCATGTGTCTTTTAGCCATTCGGATTTCATCTTTGAGGAAGTTTCTGTTCATTTCGTCGCCCCATTTTCTAATAGCGTTGGATGTTTTCTTCTTGTGGAGTTCAGCCAGTAATTTGTATATCCTTGATATCAACCCCTTGTTGGATGTGTGTTTCGCGAATATCCTTTCTCATTCTGTGGGCTGTCTTTGTATTTTGGTCACTGTTTCTTTTGAGGTGCAGAGGCTTCTTAGTTTAAGATAGTCCCATTTGTCTATCTCTGTTTTCACTTGCTTAGCCAGTGGTGTGACATCTTTGAAGATACCATTAGCTTCAATGTCATGGAGGGTTTTGCCCACTATGTCTTCAATGTACCTTTTGGATTCCGGTCTGATGTTGAGGTCTTTAATCCATTTTGATCTTACTTTTGTACATGGTGTTAGGCAGAGATCTGAGCCCATTTTTTTGCATGTAGCTATCCAGTTTTTGAATCTTGGCCACTCTTGGGTGTTAGTCTCCTATTTTGTTACTTTATGTCCCCCAGCTGAATGCAATCTTTTTATGTCTATTCCTCTCTTTCTGACTCATTTCGCTTAACATGATACTTTCCATTTAGTACCACTTGTATGTAAATGTCATGACTTCATCTTTTCTAACAGCTACATAGTACTCCATTGTGTAAATGTACCAAAGTTTCTTTAACCAGTCATCTGGCTTGGGCACTCAGGTTTTTTCCAGATTCTGGCTATTGTAAATAGTGCTGCAATGAATAAACAAGTGCAGATGTCACTTTGACTATACTTTTTTGCCTTTCTGGGATATATTTCGAGGAGTGGTATTGCTGGGTCATATGGGAGCTCAATTTTTAATTTTTTGAGAATCGTCCATACTGTTTTCCAAAAGTAGCCCATTAACACTTGCTCAGCTCTGAGCGCTTAGCTCACATCCACTTGCTCAGAGACCACAAACTTACAGGCTCACTTCGTTCTCCTTACCATATGCCTCATTCTACAGCACCACTCTTCCTTCTTTTAAAAATTTTCATTAAAGGAAAAATTGGGAGTAGAGCTGCCAACCAGTATTCAGGGGACCCAAGGGCCCAGCCATTGTTGGCTCACCACACCGGCAGTTGGATGCAAGGGCCTGCGGGAGCAGAGCTGGGATAATCAGGGCCATATGGTGGGGCCATGCCTGGTGATACACGGTGCAGGGAGTGAGCTGGGGATTGCTCTTAACCCTGGGTAGCGTTCTGGCCCTTCTTCACTGTTTCTTGATTTTTTTAGTTGGCTGCCTCTCTATCTGGACAGAAGTTTGGTCTGAAGATTGATGGCCATTCCTTACCAGCATTGCTGGGCCTCAGCAGCACTACTTTGCTAGACCCAAGCCTTGAACCATTCTGGTGGGCCAGTATCACTGGGAGCATCCCCTTGGCCCCTGGAGCACTACTTGGGAGATATAAAATTTAGGAAAAAAATAGCACTGGAGCACTGTCCTCCTGTTGTTCATTGATTTGCTCGAGCAGGCATCAGTAACGTCTCCATTGTGAGACTTGTTACAGTTTTTGGCATATCGAATACGCCACAGGGAGCTTGCCAGGTTTTGCTGTGCAGGTGGAGTACTCTTGGTAGCTTGCCGGGCTCTCCGAGAGGGGCGAAGGAGTTGAACCTGGGTCAGCCCGGGTCGGCAGTGTGCAAGGCAAACACCCTACCTGCTGTGCTATTGCTATACTTGTGTCTTCCTCTCACTAATGTATACTTGTCCTAAATATAATAGTTTAACTTGTGTTTTAAGCTGTGTACATGGGGTGTTTTTTATTTGTCTGATTTGTTCTTGGATACCTCAATATTTGCCTCCTCTTTCTTCCCTAGTCAAACCTGGCTCATGAAATGGACTAAGGCTTGAGGAGCATCGCCTACTCCTCTGTGGATTGAGACACAACTGGGATGGTGGTGAGAGCAAACAACTAGAGTCCAGCTGCAGCAATGAGTTCAGACGAGAGGGGCATCTCCCCGGCTCATAAAACCGCCACCCCAACCCATCGAAGTGCCTCTTCCTCCACATCCTCCCAGAGGGATAGTCGGCAGGTAAGAAAAGTCTGGAAAGTGCCTTTGTCAGCTTCTAAGCGTGTCAGCAGTCACTCAGCAGGGGCTGGGACTGTTCCTTTGTGTAAAGTTACATTCTGCGAGAAAGCTCACTGTTCTGTGGATCTCCTTGGTGGGGTTACAAAGGCTTTGCTCTTGCTCTTCCATTTCAAGCATCCTTCTCTGGGCAGTCAGAACCATAGTGGTAGGATACTTACCTTGCATGAGGTCAACCTGGGTTTGATACCCAGAATCCCAAACATTCTCCTCAGCACCACCTGGAGTAATTCTTGAGTGAAGAACCAGGAGTAACCCCTCAGCATCGTTGGGCGTGGAATCCTCCTCCCCCTCCAAAAAAAAAAAAAAAAAAAAAACTCTGGAGTGCAGATCACAGGAAGGCAGCTAGCTTCTCTCTTTGAACCTGGGGTATGAACCAGCTTTGAGAAACTGCCTATTCTGCCCTCCTCATTCTGCTCATGGAGCAGAAAAGTGATCTAAGCTGCAAAGATCTCCTTCCTACAGGCTTGTCACTGGCATGCTAAGCACTACTTTCTGTTTCATGTCACATAGCATCTGGAGACAGTCAGATTTAGGAGTTAAGTGTTAAATAAAAGTGTGGTGTCTTCTACACTTCTATGTTCATTGCTACACTATTCACAATAGCCAAAATCTGGAAAAAACCTGAGTGCCCGAGAACAGATGACTGGTTAGAGAAACTTGGTACATGTACACAATGGCGTACTATGTAGCTGTTAGAAAAGGTGAAGTCATGAAATTTACATACAAGTGGTGCTACATGGAAATTATCATGCTAAGTGAAATGAGTCAGAAAGAAAGGGAAAGACATAGAAAGATTGCATTCATCTGGGGAATATAAAAGTAACAAAAATAGGAGACTAACACCCAAAAATAGCCGAGATAAGTACCAGGAGGTTCACTCCATGGCTTGGAGGCCAGCCACACATGCTAGGGGAAAAGGCAGCTCAGATAGAGAAGGGAGCACCATGTAAAGGGTGTTGGGACGATCCTCCCAGGATGGGAGATGCATGCTGAAAGTAGACTATAGACCAAACATAATTGCCACTCAATTCCTCTTTTGCAAACCACAGCACCCAAAAGGAGAGAGAGAACAAAAGGGAATGCCCTGCCCCCGAGGCGGGGTGGGTTGGGGGCATGGGGGGACGGGAGGGATACTGGGATCACTGGTGGTGGAGAATGGGCACTGGTGGAGGGATGGTACTCAATCATTGTATAACTGAAACCCAAGCACAAAAACTTGTAAGTCGACAACTGTACCTCACGGTGATGGTGTTTCACTAATAAAAATTTAAAAAAATAATAATAAATAAATTTAAATCCAAAAAAATGTGTGGTGTCAGAAAATAAGGGCAGTGAGAACTCAGACAATGTTTAAGGATAGGAGAGAGGGAGAGACAGAGGGAGAGACTTAGGTCAAGAGGATAGCTCAAAGGACTGAAGTTTATTCTCGGTCTGTGGGAGTCCTGTGTTAGAGCCCCCGCACCTCATGGTCAGTCCCCTTAATATGAGAACTAAGAACCACAGGAAATGATTCCCAACCAAAGCACTGAGTTAGAAGTAGCTCCTTAGCACTGATGGGTGTGGCTACAAAACCAAAAAATAGGTTAAGAAAATTATTTTGTTTATTGAACTAATTCTATAAATGATGATTTTCACAGAATTACAAGGAAATCATTCTGTGAAAATCATATTTACTATGGTCATATTATTTACTATGGCTATACTCTGGTCATAGTTGTATGAGTTTTAATCATGGGAATATTCTTCATTTTCAGATCAGGTGGCTGCTTTGTCCTGCAGAAAATTAAAATATTACTGTCTCCCATTACGATATTAGCCTGCAACAGGATTTTTGTTGTATAACTGGTAATTCACAATAAGCAGTGGTTGCCTAGTTTCTGGGGCTATTCACTCTGCCCTGACTGAGTCTTGAGATACTCAGTTCCAGTTGAGAATTAGACCATTCTTGATAGCAAAAATGTGCTTTTGGGGGTGTTCCTTAGAGAGCCTTCAGTCTACCATCACCACCCCGACCTAGTCCTACCAACCTCCCTCCATTTCCCTCCCCTTCACATCACCAAGATGTCCTTTGCCAGTTCTAACATGAGAAAATCAGGGATTCCTTACATGCATCTTCTTCACTCATTCTGAAACATCTATTTCCACGGTAGGTTCTGGGGGATTTCACCATTGATATTCTTTATGAGAGAGCTGAGGGATCACATTTCCATTCTGTTTATTGGAAGAAGGTCTGCCATTAACTAAATGTTTGTTCACTCACAGTGATAATGTTTGGTGCACTGTATGACATCGAAGAAAGAACACCATGAATGAAAACATTTTATATTCGATCGCAACTCCATGCTGCCAAGCTTTCTAAGTTTGTAGATTTAGGTTATCTTTCATGGCCTGCTCCTCTGTGTTTTCTAATTCTGGCATCTCCATTACTCCTTTGCCCCTGGCATTTAAAGTGAGGGGCATTTTAAATAGTGTCACCATTTTTGGCTGCTGGCCTGGCTCACCCCAGGGAATTGGGGTCAAATGGAAAAGTTGATGAATGCTGCTGAACCATCTCTCATGCCCAGTGGTTCTGCCTGTTGCACTTGAGCTCGGGGGCCAGTGTGCAAAATCGAAGGCGAACACAGAACCTGACCTTCCAAGAGGGAGCTTGAAGGTCCAATGTGTAACTCCTGCCTGACAGGGAAGCTTGAGTCTCTTTAGGATAAAATGTCAGGTCCACAAATTGATAATGAAATCTGTTACAGGAAGCAGCAGTGTTCAGACACCTGTTATTCTTGAAGGAAAGAGTTTTCAGTCATGCCTGTTTATCTCAGCAGGTGGAACCTCTTCTGAAATCGCTCCTGGATTTCCTTCCTGCCTCATGTTTTGTGTCTTTTATCTTTCCAAAGGGAGAGATTTGAGAAATATGACAGTTCTGTTATTCCACTCCTACCTCAGTGGCTTCCTCAAATCTAGACATTTGCTGGAATTCTGAACTTTTGAGTAATCCTGCAGTGAGATGTATGTGATGCTCTGATGAGCACCTATATTTGGGTAAGAGTTGGTTTCTTAGGGAAGAGATGCTGAGAAAGTGTGATAAATTAATCATGGTGCAATGTAAGCATTCTCCTCATTTGGCTAACATGCTGCAAATTCCATAATGAGCTCTGCCCCGAACTGACCAGATTAGTAAATGAGTGAGCACTTCACAGAGGGGATGATGGTACCTTGGCCAACGATATTTCTGGGTTTTTGTAAGTTCTAGTAATCAGTCACTGATTTGAGTTTCCTACTTTGATGTAATAGAAGCACCTTCAATCATTATGGTCAAACCATTTTGCTAGTCATTCTCTCAAGGATCCAGGCTCAAGCCATTCCATTCTCCCTCACCTCTCTTGCATTCAGTAATCTAACAAGTCCTATTCATGATTTCCTCCTTCCTAATACTATAATGCCTTTTTATTTCCACTGTCCACTCTCTAGCCTGAACTCTTTTGGTCTCAACCCAGGATCCTGAAAAAGTACTCCTATCTTACCTCTTATGCACGGCCTCTTGAAATTCAGTTTCCCTAGTATGACTGTTGCAGAGGAGGCCAGACTGTCTTACTTGTTGTCCATTGAGCCCTATAATCCTAGTCAGCGTCAGTGCCTCATTTCTACCAGTCAGTACAGTCTTTACCTTCTGAAATGGCCCTTTCTGCATCTCTGCCTTTGTCTTTCCTGCCTAGGGGAACAAAACCAGACATCTTCTTCCGCCACTCTCATACTGCTCTCTGCTCTGGGATCTACACCTGGGACACTTTCATTGACCACCAAGTCAACCACCCAGCCAACATTGTCCTCACTTTTTCTCTGAACATTTGCAGGATGTTTGATACTGCTAGATATCTCTACAGTGTTTTTCTTTTTATGTACTGACCCTCGCAACTATATTGTGAGCTCTTTATTTTTACTTATTTTTTTAAATTGAATCATAGTGAATACTGTACAGTTACAAAGTTGTTCATGATTGGGTTTCAATCATACAATATTTCAATACCCATCCCTCACCGGGCTGGAGCTATAGCACAGCAGGTAGGGCATTTGCCTTATAAGTGCGAACATGGCCGAGCCGAGTTTGATTTCTCCGCCCCTCTCAGAGAGCCCAGCAAGCTACTGAGAGTATCTCGCCTGCACGGCAAAGCCTGGCAAGCTACCCGTGACATATTCGATATGCTATACACAGTAACAACAAAGTCTCACAATGGAGACATTACTGGACCCACTCAAGCAAATCGATGAACAACGGGAGGACAGTGACAGGACAGTTATCCCTCACCAACGTACATTTCCCACTACTAATGTCCTCAGTTTTTCCCCAGCCCCACCCCTATCCCAATCCTGCCTACCTCTATGGTAGGCACTTTTCTTCTTTATTTTGTGAGCTCTTTAAAATAGAGTGTGCACTCTCGATTTTTCAGAGACAAGTCTTATTCCTCAAATGTTTTAATTACTCTGGGAGTATGGTTTTAAATCCCTGCCACAATATTAGTCTAGTCTTATTACAGATTTTCCATCTCACATTTATTTGTCCTCTCCCTTCTTCCATCCTCATAGAGAAGTAAAACAAAGAATAGCAGCCAAGTGTGGAATAGTAACTGGCCATCTTCCTGTCACTTTATTATGTAGTCCAACAGGTAAATGATGCCAAGGAGCTGGGAAATCATGGGACTGTGCCCCAGGGAATCCAGGAAGCGCTTACTCACAGAGAAGAGTTGAACATGCTGAGATACTTTCCAAGCTCCATCTGCCAAAGATAGGGCCAAAGTGCCACTTAGTATTTAACCAGCTGCACATCTTTAGTAATTGCTTCATTAATGGTTCATTCAGGTCTGATATTGGATGTTAGAATGTTTTTAAAAGATTGACGCTCTATGTTTGTGTGAGTCAACAGTGATGCATAAACTGTAAAAAGCTAGGCCTGA